CATGCATGTGGGAGGGGGGGGGGGGGGGTAGCCCCCCCTTATGTAATACCAAATATTCATAATATCTCTGTCATATCCTTATGTAATACCACCTAATATCTTTGTTTTTATGTGAAATATCTCTGTAATTATATGAGATCTAACGTTGAAACCACTTGATCTTACCGGATCTAACGTAGGCCTATTAGCCTGAATGAAATTTTACCAGAAAATTGCATGTGGGGGGCTAGCCCCCACTTATGTAATACCAAATATTCATAATATCTCTGTCATATCCTTATGTAATACCACCTAATATCTTTGTTTTTATGTGAAATATCTCTGTAATTATATGAGATCTATTAAACATTAACATTAAAATCACTTGATCTTACCGAATCTAACGAAGACCAATTAGCCTGAATAAAATGTTACCAGAAAATTGCACGTGGGGAGGGGGGGGCTAGCTCCCCCTCATTAATCACTTAATAAATCTGTAATTATGTGAGATCTAACAAAACAACTAGTTAATCATACCGGAACTAACAAATAGCTTCCAAAATAGCTGTTTGGTCAATTTTTTGATAAGGGGGGCTGATGACAGGTTAGCCCCCCCCCCCCCCCCCAGCAAATAACTGTTAATATCTCTACTTCTATGTAAGATCTAATGCAAACAACAATTGATCTAACCTGATCTAACAAAGATCTAACCAACTGCATATGTTTTGTTCAAAAACTTTGATATGGGGGGGCTAACACGGCTGAGGTGACAATATGCCTTCTTTCTGTTGGTTTTATTTTTGTTTTTACTGCAGGCATTGCGCCTTTGTAGAGCTGATGCTTAAAAGTCGCAGAATGGAGAATGAATGGAGGATGCAGCAGCCAATAAGGAAGAATAACGTGTTTTTTTTTAAGGGACTAGACCATAAAGGTATGGCAGCAATTAATCCAGTGAAGTGAAGACAGCAGTGCATTCGTGGCTCGCAGCTCAGCCTAAAACATTTTTTAATGAGGGAATACGAAAGCTTGTTTGCAGATGGACAAAGTGTATTGAAAAGCATGGAGACTATGTTGAAAAATTATGTATTTGTCTTTTCTAAAAGTTGATTATAATAAATTCTACATCCAGAGTGCGGATAATGTTTGACTCATTTTCGTTTATATTGTGAGATTTAGCTTCACACAGTAGAGCTTTAAGGTTGCATCCACTCACTGAAATCTTCTTTTAAAGGCTACTTTGCCCACTTTTATTAAAAAGAAAATTCACAGACAACAAGGCAGTTGCCCTCGCGGGGGTTGTTCAGCATCCCTTTACAAAAAATACACATATGATTATCCAGCCTCTTGGCTTGGCTCTTGCAGCACCGCTTCTCCTAGCTCAGTCCTCAGGCCACTCAGTTTCCCTCTGGCTGAGAGTCCTGGGTGACTATTATGCCACATTTTACCATGGTATACCGGAGGAGCGGACAAACAGGCCTAAACTGTTCACCTGGATATGCTTCATCTTTTTACGTCTTTGTTTCCACTAAGGATAATATTTTACACGGTGCCACGCCAGTCTTCTTCTCTACACAAATATTGTCCTTGTTCTGGATGTTTCTACCCTCCGTGGCGGAACTACCGGGGCCTGAGGCTGTGGGGGGCCTAGTGGGGTCCGGTCCTGGGCACCCCCACAGCCTCAGTGGGGCCCAGTCCTGCAATATGGGGCAGTGCAGGGTCCCGGTGTTAGAACACCGGGGCCTCGCACTGCCTACGGGCTTCCCAGTGAATGGGCGGGTCCTGTGACTCCCCTCCCGGCCGCATCCATAGTTACAGGCGGCGGGAGGGGAGGTGAGTCATAGGAGACGTGTATGTGTCACACGCCCCGCCCCCTGCAGTGCACACATCGACACATGGCTGCTGCTATCCTGGCTGGGTGAGTTCGAATGGGGGAAGGGGGGGGGGCTCTTACTTCATGTAATTAGACATGTGGATTATAATGGGGAATATCACACTGTAATGTTCCCTGTTATAATCTATTTCTCTGATTAAATGATTACAGACAGGCCTCTGTTCTATCACATTTTGAGACTACGTTAGAATATGTGACCAGTGACGTGGTCACACATTTAAACGTAATCTCGCCCAGTTTTTCAGCGGTGAAATAGGTGAAGAACTGTACCGGGGCGGCATGGCAGTGGTGACAGGGGAGGGAGTGGAGGAGGCCGGGCCCCAGCAGCAGCAGGTATGAAGAGTTGGGACGAGGTACAGGGAAAAGGACCCCGGCGACCAGACCAGCCCACCTGGGACCCTGCAAAGCCCACCATAGAGAGCCTCACGTGGGCTATGCAGGATCTATGGTGTGCTCTGCAGGGTCTCAGGTAAGTCCAGCACGCTACTGCAACATTAGAGACCGCTGAGGGGGGTGCGGGGGCCAGTGTTATCTGCTCCCGCACCCCCCCCCCTTCCCCGGCTTGGGAGGGGAGCCCAAGATAAAATCTTGCACCAGGGCCCTTTGGTTATTAGGTCCGCCACTGTCTATCCTGTTCAGTCTTCTCTACAAAGCTAGCAGTTCATTTTGTTCCTCTATACTATGAGACTCCAATGTCTCTTTCATTGTATGAAAGATCTCTCTATGGTCAACAGTTGAGGGCTCATGTACATTTTACTCACAGTCAATAGTCAGATGTCTCTTCATCAACCACCTCTATACTGTTATCATCCGTCTCTTTGCAGTTAGTTTCTGTGTAATCTCCCAATACACCATCGATTACAGTCTCTTTAACATCACTCAAGGTCACCTGATTCATAGTCTCTTTATGGCCAACCTCACTATGTTCATAGACAGTCTCATTGGGCATACACTCAGTTTCCGTAGCAGCTGTCTCTTCCCTGACTCCACTCAATTCCTGGCCATCCGTTTCAGTCTTCAGTCTCTTTGCTGGCCATGTCCTTTGGGTATCTACAGTCCCATGCTGTCACCTCACCAGTAATCTACCTTGTAATACACTCCACACTAGAGTTCTCATCATTGCTCCTGGCAACCATCCCACCATGATCTGAAATGACCTCATAGTTGTCATCAATAATGTCACCAGCAGTTTTCCCACTGACACATACAGTTCTTGCTTACAGCAACCAATACACTATTAGTTATGACATCAGTATCGGTTTCCCATAATACATAATTTTCTTTGAACACCCCATGCTAGCAGTCACTCTCTTACACAGTCCACAGAAAAATAGAGCACTGTCCCTTTAAGTGCTTTTCTTTCTCCTGTGGGCCTTGGCTCGCCTGCTTTACACAACATGCAACATATGCAGTCTCGCTCACAGAAATACAGTTCACAAACACATGAACTCACTGGGAATGACACAGTTTGCCCGCATTCGCCACCAATTGTGAGCTTTAGCTTCAAACAGTAGAGCTTTAAGGATGCATCAAAAAATACATATATGCTTATCCAGCCTCTCGGCTTTACTCTTGCAGCACTGCTGCTCCAGCCTCAGTCCTCAGGCCACTGTCTGTTTCCTCCAGACAGCCTCAATACCGGGCTAACCCACACACTTGGCATACAACCTGCAGCTCCATGCTACACTGGACTCCACGATGACTCCTGGGTGGAGGGGGACCATGGGGAGCAAAAGTAGCCCCCCCTCCAGAAGGAAGGAGAGTGCCAGCACAAATTCAGAGATGACTTGAGGATCTACAGCTTAGTGATGCACAAATACAATACATTCTTGCTACTAGTTAAAGGGTTATTAAACCCTCAAATTTTTTGCATATGTCTACTGCTAGCAAGCAGTCGATATATGCAAAAACTTTGTTTAAAAAAACCTTTTGAAAGAGGTTTAAACTTACCTCGCCGCATGCTCCCGTCCAAACATCTCGGGCGGCCGCAAAGGATCTTCGGGAGGGCGCATGCGCACTTCAGATGTTCGGCCGGGAGAAGAGAGACACAAGGTAAGTTTATTGAGCAGTTTGCATCCGCACAGACACCGTGGGACAACAGAAAAGAGGAGGACAGAGGAGTCAGAGCTGGATCGGAGACCCGCACCAGCGCTGGAGGGACAGCTGAAAAGGACAGTAAAAAAGAAGAATATCGAATAAAGAGGCATCATTTCAGATAAGTCTTGACACTAACATTGGGTGGGCGGAAAAAATTGCCTTTAATTTCACTTTAAAGTACTTGAATGCATTTTTAAGGTTTAACTCCCGAGTATACTGTCACTTTAACATTTTATAGTTGACTTGGGAGTCGAGCTCAAATTTCACAGCAGCCTCAAGTTAAACAACTATTTAAATCTGGGCTAAGACCAAGAGTTACAGGTTACACAACCATCAGTCTCGATCCAAAGACAACAATTTGTGGATCTGTGTTAATCAGTAGATGTCAGCAATCTGCTCTTTGGCCTTAAATTAAAATGGGTTACTGTTTTGGATGGGATATTCTGATTAACTTAAAAAGAAACATATGTTTGTCAGGTGGAGGTTGTAACATAACTGCAACACACCTTTGCCGCAAGCACTGTCATCTAGCCAAACATTTAAACTGATCATCAGAAGCTTTGAATATTTATATTTCTCCTCCTCATTTATCTGCGTGGATTCTCATCACACTGCCTTTTGTCATCAAAAATGTTTGACGATGTCTTAGCTGCTCAAATGTACTAATGTTCTGGTATTGCAATCCACATAATACGGTGATTAAAGAAACAAAAGAGCAAGTTAGGACAGGAGAGGGGAGCTTTATCTATCGAACGAGCAGCCGAACAAAAGGATTCAGCATAGATGTGCAGGAGCTGAATGTGTTCTGTCTGCACCTTGATTGTTGTAGGAGATGCACAGTGGACATTTGTGCTGAAGAAGATTGTACTCACACATGAAGATTGAATCCTTTTGAAGCTGTAATGGAGCATAATGCAGAACTGGATACAAATGGTGATTCACCAGAAAACAGGATACCTAACAAACGTGGGAAAGTTGAGAATGACTGGAAAAAAGGAAGTAGGCTACTTTCTGGATTAGTGGGCTGCAATGCCTTTCTCTTTAGTTGTGCTTTGCTAACTTGTGTGTTAACTGAGGACATTGACATCTTTGAGAAAGACTTTGACATATTTCTAACTATCATAATGGCCATCTGTATTTTGTGGATGCTTTTCCAAATGTATTTCACCTGGAAGAACAAAAATGCAGTTCTGTTTAAAGATTGCCAGGCAGGTCCAATATGGATGAGAGGTCAGTTATTTACTTCTGCTAGTCAATATTTGTAATTGCTGTTAGAATCCGTTCAGACGGGTGATCAAACCAGCTCTGTTTTTTATGCAGACATGATTGGAAGCCTGATGTTAGTTCTATTGGCAGCTGGATCTTAAAGGACGTATGTTCGTTTACATCCCATTGCCCCAGACTCTGGCCAGGTCTGAAAAACCAAATGGAACAGAGTTACGTTATGGTGGACCTGATCATGCTGGATCGGGGGGAAATCTGATATAAACGGACACATGTCTGCATACATCTGACTCCCTATAGACCGACATGGGTCTAGTAACTTCAGTTTTTTTAAAACTGGATGGACACAGATGTCACAATTCTGACATCTGTTCCAAACTGCTCTGATCAGCAGGGGGTACATGCTTGGATCCCCTGCTGATTGGAATTGAGTACATCCATATGAAAGGGGTCTTATTGTTGCTTTGCTTTTCTTGTTTAACAATGTTTATTATTTCTCAAGTTTTAATGTCTTTGTGTTCAGATACTGCACCTCTAAGGTAAAATGAGAAAATATTTTAATATATGTATTTCTATTATCCTATGTGTTAATGTAAAGAGATATCTAAGGCCTTGTTCACATTACTGAGCTGCAGCAATGCTTACTTTCCTGTGCACGTTACCCCAATGCACTGCGCCACACATTATTCGCAATGGTGTGATGCTGTTACATTTATACTGAATGGCATCTGAACCCTGCCAACTAAAGTGCATTGTTTTGCACTGCCAAAAATGGTACAGATCCCATTTCTGGGCCGTTAAGGTGCATTACCAGCCCATTCATTTTGAACACGTTAAAGTACTGGATTAATGCTCATGTGTTACTGCAACGCACCCCAAAAGTTAGGTGTGAACCTAGCCTTATAGCTGTAGTAGGTATGTAGGTATAATGTAGGAATAATGTAGACATCATTCATAGAATTATGTAATTTTGGTGTGCAAGCGCCACTTTATCCATGTTCATTAAATCTTTAAAAGCAAAAATGACTAGAAACCTCAGGGCCCCGGTGCAAGAAACCATGAAGGCCCCCCTATCAAAAAGAGCATGATTTTGATACTTTTTTTTCTTCCAATAAATAATTGTTGTAAATGGCTGCTGTTGCTGGCGTAACTAAGCCTATGGTACCAAAATGTATCCTGCAATTACGGTAAAGCATGTTCCCATCACTGGCAGAATTACCAGGGTTGCAGAGGTCGCATGTGGATATTTACAAATCCTAAATATAGTGCTCGTTCTTCAACCAATTTGCTGCCACGGCATTTTTTTGCACACATTTTATAATCCACATTTTAGGCCTGCAAATTAGTTTTAAAAAAATTAAAACATTATATTATTATATATTCTGAAAGAAAAGACCCTGTACAATAAAATGGTGGCAAATTTTTATGCCGTACAATATTAGCGTAACTCTTTATCAAACCCAAAATTTGGGTTTTGATAAACGTAAGTTCATTTTAATGCCCCAAAACACGATATAATACCAAATTTTTGAATAAAATATAAAATATGAGGTTAGGGTGAGTAAATAGAAATCCAACATGCCCAGGTTAAAAATTGCGTGCTTCCCTGAAACAGCAACAGTACCCCAAATTGTCCAAAGCCTGTATAGGTCATCAGTTTAGAGAAATCCGCGAATAATGGCCCTAAAATGATTGCTCTCACTTTGGCATGCATGACTATACCAAACATGTGTAGCGCAATCTTCGTTTTCGTATGTAGGTGCACCCAATGCGTGTTTACATTAAATTTAAATGTTTTTTTTTGTTTTTACATTTATTTTATTTAAACTTTTTTTTTCTTAATTGCTTTCAGGTAAGGGGGCTTACAAGCCCCGAATGTGATAGCACATTGGAGGTGACAGGTTCTCTTTAAGGTGATATTAGTGGACAATTAGACCCCCAGTGTCATCTTTCCCCTCCTAAGAAGCTATTGGAGCGCAGACGCCAGGGCCTGGTAGTTCCGCCAGTGAACCTATCAAATAGAGCCAACCTGCAGACAAAACTTTTTTATGTGGTGTTGAGTTGTGGTCACCAGCATAACAAGCTAAGTCTCCCCAACAGGGCCACAGAAAGCAATAAAAATCAAAAGAGATTATAACCATTCCCCACTCTCTCCAAAGCTAAAGAATATGCTTTGGCTGTATAGGTGGGCTTTAAAGGTTCTTTTCCATAGCCATATTTAGGAATTCTGTAAATCAGCTTCTCCCTATTAGATCTAAAATATTAGGGATTTTCCATATAATCCTATAGAAGGTGGAATATTTTATGTATCCATATACAAACCTATTGCCTTGTGCTGAACAAACTGCCTTGAAAACAGTCAAATTTGCAATTTGATATTTTTTTTTACTATTTTAGTATTCTCCTGAATATATGCATACAGACTGGTCAAGGAAGCAAAGAATCATACAATTCACAAATCATAATTGTATGAATTGAAAAATTGCATATTCCCCTCAAATCAAATACATCTACATATATAGTATACAATACTACATCTAGATCTACATCTACTAATACATTCATGAGAATCAAAATGTGATGCAACAGTGATTCTCCTCATTTGGTCATCTCTAGTCAGCACAAATAACTCACTGAAATTATGGTAAGTGTGCTTTATTAGACTAACAGGGTTATTCACAAAAGGGTGAAGAGTTAGGAGAAGGCAGGAGAAGTGAACAATCTAGGACAACATAGCTGAACTGGAAAGTGAGCTTAATTGGAGAATTTTTCCAAATCAACTATGTTGTCCTTGATTGGTCACTTCTCCTGCCAAACTCTTTATCCTTTTGTGAATAACCCTGTAAATGTCGTCCAGTTGAAGTTTACATCTACTTTAAGGCTGGATTCACACTAAAATTGTGCGCCGTCAAAAAATTTGTTCTGTTTCGTTTCGTTTCGGAATATCCGTTATTTCGTATTTCGTAATTTGAAATACGAATTTTCGTTAGTGGCGGTTATATTTTCGTAACTTTACGAACATTCGTTTTGATGAAGCTAAAAAGCAAAATACCTTTGTTAATATTGGAGTGGTAGTTGTTTTTTTTATCCCAAATACGAATTCCGTTAACGGATTCCGTATCCGAATTTCGTATTTTAAAAAAAACTACATCAACTCCAATATAAATGTACTTTGCTTTTTAACTTCAATATATAACGAATGTTCGTAACTGAACGAAAATACTTCAATGGAATTTCGTATTTCCTCCCTGTATTTGTAATGCAACTCTCAGCAGCAGAAGAGAACCTCTGATTGGTCAACCAAAACGAAATACGAATTCTGTTAACGGATTCCGTATCCGAATTTCATATTTCGGATTTAAAAAAAAAATACCTTCAATTCCAATATAAATGTATTTGCTTTTTAACTTTAATATAACGAATGTTCGTAACGGAATGAAAATACGTCAACGGAATTTCTTATTTCCTGCCTGTGTGTGTAACTGTGTATTAATGCAACCCTCAGCAGCAGCGGATCTGTATTTCGGATTTAAAAAAAAATCTTGTCATGTTGTTCAACCTCATTTACAGGGGTAATATTAGTTCCTGTTTCAAAGAAATTCGGATCCGAAATTCGTTAACGGAATTTCGTATTTCGGATATAATTCGGAAACTGCCATTCGGATTTCGGATGCTCCGAAATTTGGAATTTCAGGAAAATTCGTACGAATTTCGATTCGTAACGAAACGAATCGCACATGTCTAATTCACATCAGCGGCTGCACTACAACACACAGCCACTGCTGTGCGCTAGCTGTCACAGTGCCTATGCACCAATCCCAGCTTATTGCATTGTTTACCTTTTTTTGTTAGAACTTTATTGAAATGTCACAAGTGACATTTCATTAAGTTCTATGGGCACACTGTGGTTGTACTGTGTCATGGCCCACTGCACTGAAAAAAAATACTGCATGCAGCGCATGACACCACAGAACTGTGCCCATCCTTGACAAGACAAATTACCTTGTCTTGTGTTGGAGCTGCTGTAGGAAAAAAACGGCCATTCAGCTTTTCTTGAAGTTTGGCATCATGCCTCACTGTATACAGTTTTCTTAAGTAAAAATTTTGTGTGAATTAATTGCATTTTCTCACACATCGAGATACCTTTAACAGCACTTTCTTTTCTAGACTGTCAGTGCTAAGCCAATAACCCAACATTAGCAGTAGCGTTGTCAGCTTGCCATGTATGCACTTGGCCTAACAGGACTAGGCAGCTTGCAGCCAAAAAGAACAGGAATATTTTCTTTGGCAGAAAATACTTTACATGTCTTCTGTCAAAAAGAAGTTTTTTAATTTCAGGACTTTGTGGATTTGTTAATATTATAATGTTCAGATGATTGACTTGATACATACATGCCTCACATGTTTAGACTTTCATAAAGAGTAAAAGTCGGCAGAAGGGATAATGAGGCACACTGTTAAAAGTAGACTTGGTTATATACAGCACTGAATTTTGATTGTGGTTTAAAGGTGCATGGTAAATAGGTTCTGAGTCTATATTGAGTTGGTCATCAGTTGGAGAAAACAAAATGCCTAGCTGTTGGTGGCCGGTGGGAAACAAAATGCACCAGGTTTGGTGGTAGGAGCACCAGTCAGTCTATGATCCAACTTATTCCTGCTTTGCCTATTTCTTCCTCATTAGTTAAGAGTACCAGCCAGTTTCCAGTTTATGCTCCAGCGGATTTCTGGTCTGCAGCAACCAGTCTCCCACTAACATGTGTAAACCCTGCAATCGATCTCGTATCCCGTCCCCTCAACTCTAAGGCCTACACACTATTTAAGCCTCACAAGCCCCGTAATCTAGGCTTGTAAGAGAGGTTCTTCACTGGCACTCTTTTCCACCTGCCTGTTTGACCCAACATCTGCTTCTTAATGACCATGCTATTTGGATTGCAACCTAATTGATCTTCTGCTTGATACTGACCAGGGGCTTAACCACAGATCAAGGGGCCTCATATCAAAATTTTGATGGGGCTCCCAGCAACCTCCCTACTGTCCATAATCTTTAAGTCAGATAGCAGGAAAGCTGCCTGCATAGTCCCTTGCTATACATTTGATGTCTGCTCTTCTTAATTCATAATGTCAGTGTCAGCAGCAACTTCTGCAATCTTTATTAGAGCCCCCTTCCACCCCCAGGCCCCATAGCAGCCGCAGGGTTCGCTATGGCTATTGTTACGCCACTGCTGACCATGTTGTCTGGATTTTCTTCTGCCTGCCTGTTTTTAGCTTGCCTGCCATCAGCCCGTCTGTCATCAGCTGCTTGTTTTCAGCATGCCTGTCATCAGCCTACTGCACACTGGTTGTTATTGGTGCTTGTAGTCCCTCAGCTGTCTGACGCTCCTTCAGGTGGCTACTAAAGGTGCTAGCCCCAGCAACCCAGAAACCAAGGCTTACTTGCCAGACCCATTTATGGTCCATCTCTGGTAGTTCCTTAAATTTGTCAATAGCTGTGAGCTATATGTTTAGCTGAAGCCCCACTCCTTCGATTCAAAGAAACAAATGGTTAAAATTATCATCTCATTGCTTGAAGCAGACCCAAAGTCCCGGGCCTTTAGTCTGGCCTCCACAGATGCATCCCTATCCTTAATCGATGGCTTCTTCAAAGCCTTAGCACTAATATAAGTTGATCCTGATCAAGCCTATACCACTCAGTCCAGCCTCACAGTCCTATGGCATGATAAATAGACAGCGGAGCAATACTTTTCTGATTTTTGCTGCTGGGAGTGGAATGACCCCGCTCTGAGAAGCCAATTTTTCCCAGGCCTGGAAGATGCTATTAAGGGCTCCCTGGTCCACTATCCTGCCCCTGCCACCTTGAAGAAACCCTAGTGCAATTTAGACAGTCTAGTGAGGTAGATCAAGGAGCTGGCAATTGCCACAATTAGGTTTTCATGCAGATGCCAGCTTAGTTGTATCACATGAATGGTTTACCATTACATCTCATCCCATGCCAATTGCATGAAAAACAAATAAAATATGTATTTAAGGAAAAAAAGATATAAAGCTAATACATAATCAGGCATGATTTCATCAGCCTGGCATGAGCAGGTCATGAAGCCGGCAGGAGCCACATTTAGTTTTTATTGCAGAAACTGGTTTTGTTTTTGCCACATAATGGGTTTGCACTACATCTTTACCGTGTCAAAGGTATAAAAGTTAGTTAAAATATGTATGTACTAAATATCTATGAAAATCTATTATCCAAATCTAAAACTATTTTATGATCACCAAGATAGTGTTATAAAAACTCAATAAATAAAATGAAAAAGCAATGAATCAACTAAAAACCAGAAGAACCTAATGTATGTAAATTATCATCAGGCTATTTTATTATTACTATAAATGTGTTGTGGAAATTCAATAAATAAAATATGTTAGCATTTAATTGATATAAAACAAGGGGAACTTTTTTTACAAATAGTAATCATAAAACAGCCTAATGATTATTTACAAAAATGTAATTAGGGTCTTCTGGTTTTCAGTCCTACATTACATAGTTACATAGTTACATAGTATTTGAGGTTGAATAAAGACACATGTCCATCAAGTCCAACCTATTGTGTGTGTGTGTGTGTGTGTGTAAAGATCCCCGAGTCATCTCGTTTTTAGGAGTACTTGTACCCCTGTATATTACCGTTTCTCAGGAAATCGTCCAAAAGCCTCTTGAATGATTCCAGACTATTAGCTGAAATCACTGCTAGTGGCAGTTAGTTCCAGACCCTAACCGCGAGAATCCCCTTCACCCCTTGTGTTTGAATTTTTTTTCTACCAGTTTCAGGTGGTGTCCTCTAATCTTTGTTACGGAATTAATCGTAAAGAGTTTGTTGCTAATGTTGCTATGACTATGGAACATTTTGTACATGAAAATCATGTCCCCCCTTAATCTCCTTAGTTCCAGCGTGAACATATTTAAATTTAAATACATTCTCATTGATCATATGACCTGCTGCCTAGGACTACCCCTTAGCAGATACGTTTTCTCTCTTTCTGAGGCAGAAAACCAAGCCATGAAAACTTATATTAAACCTGGAAAATGGCTTTATTTGTCTATTCACTTCCCCTGCAGAAGCAGGGCTCTATTTTGTTGAAAAGAAAGATATGACTCTTTATACTTGAATGAATGACAGAGGTGAACCCCATCCCTACTTCAGACCTTTCTGGATGCGCAAGCTGATCCACCCACAGATATTTCTGAAAGCTGTTCTTGAGACTTAAAATGCTTATTGAACTGCTCAAATCCAAAATCACTGGACACCCAGGTATTTCTAAGACTCTCCCTGATTTTCCGCACCTTGCAGTGACCAACCCCATGCAGACACACCATGGCCTATGTCAAAAGGTGTGAAATCATCTAGGTCCATGTCTTCAGAACTGATACATTCTCTAACCATATCCAACTGCCTATGAATCCATCTAGCGAAGGACTTCACTGTGTACCTACGGGGGGTAAATACACAGTGAAGTCCTTCGCTAGGTGGCTCCACTGACATAGGGATTACAATGAAACTGTTCAGCAAAAGGGTACATTTTGTCCCTTTCCCTTTGCCTCACTATTTAAACCTAATAGTTACTCCTCAAAATATTGTCTCTGACAAGTGAACCCAATTTATATCCAGATTCTTGAAAGCATTTCACAGCATACTAGGAATCACATTGTCCTTTGCATCCCCCAATGGCCTATAATCAAATGGGTAAAACAGAAGGAACCAACCAATTTTTAGTGGGGTACCAACATTGATTTGACACTGACCAGCAGCTCCATTGGGCCTTTGCCTTACCTTGGGCGCAGTTTGCATATAACAACTGGACCCCCTTGGCCACTGGTCCGTCATTCTTATATTGCAGTTATGCCATTCGGGTTTGGGATGCTCAGCTTTAGTAATATATGTATATGACTCCCAGACCCGAATGGCATTCGGGTTCCGAATTTCATTCAGGAGCTCCCAAATGCCATTCCGGTCTGGGAGCCATATACATATATTGCTTTGGGAAATTCTGATCCTGAATGCCATTCGGGTCTAGGAGCCTCAGCTTTAGTATTAAATGTACAGTATATACTGAACACAAATTTTCGTTACGGCAGGTGACTTTTCTGGCGAGATGGCTCATTTTGGTGTAACTAAAATTCGTGTTCATACCCATTCGGATGCATTAAACTGAAAAACACATCTGATTGGCCATAGTCAGATGTCCAATTCAGTTTCATTTTTGAACAAAATTCGGACAAGATCCAAAATTCGGAAACCAAAATTTGGATTCAGAAACATTCGGATGCAATGGGATTTGGTAATTCTGAAGTGTTAAAATGGCTGAATTTCAGTCGATTTTTCATTCAAAACTAAACAAATCGCACATGTCTATTGTAGAATTGCCCGGCATGATCTGTAAGTGGCAGGAATAAATCCCCCGAGGAGCTTATAGTTGGTGGAAAAAGATAAGCCCCCCCTTAACATTTAGATCAGTCCCCTCCCCCCTTTAACATCCACACTTTAGATCAGCCTAATATATTTTTTTTGACAAGTACAATATGTGTAAGATACGATTAATTTGATTTAAAACTATGCGGGTTATTTACAAAGCTGCCGAACGCAGCCGAGTAAATAACTGAGCCGTAGTAAAGTGAGCTGAACAACATTCGTCTATTCACTACGGCTCACTAGGGCTGATCTCAGCCGTACATCGGCTGCTTTCGACTTCACTTTGGCAGCCGAAGTGCAGAAGGACTTTGACTCGAAGAAGGACTTCGACTTCAGAAGGACTTCAACTCACATAGGGGCCGAACGGCACTGTTTTCTATTGGGTCCCGTCCAATGAATAATAACTGGGCGGAGCCGTCCATTATGACCTGCTCCACCCAGTTGTCATTGTTTAATGACAGATCAGCATCTCCCGGTCATTTAGGGACACTGATCTGTCATTTGAGATCACGGCTGGCTCTGCCCAGCTGTCATTTGCGAGGTGTACGGCCAGCCCCGCTTCGGCTGTCACTTCGGCTCAGTCGAGCCGAAGCATATGCCTTCGGCTCAGCTGAGCCGCTTGGCCGCCTTCGGGAGCTGTACGGGCTATAATGGGCTCCCGCAACCAACGCAACCAATGCTAGCCAAAGGATCAGCTAAAGCTACGGCTGGATCCTTTGGCAGCTTTGTGAATTGACCCCTATGTGTACATAACTGAGATTTATCAGCAAAATAGATCTATAATTAGATTTACATTTACCAAAATACATTAGCTGTTGCAGATTTCTCCTATGGAAGAAATGGAAGAAAATAAATGTGTTCACCAACTATATATAGTATGTGTTGGATAAAATGTAATACTTCCTAAATACATCAAATGTTGGGTATTAACTATTTCTCATGATTTATTTTCCTTGCAGCGGGAATCATTCTCTTTGGTGTCGGTTCACTTATTATGATTTCTTTTAAGATTGCACACACGGCTGAGTACAAGGACTGTGCAACACCAATAAAAATTATGCAACCTGTCACACAGGCTGTCTTTGTCATTGTTCAGGTATGAGAAAAGTATAAACTTTGCAGTATGAGCTCAGTTCAAACACATGCAGTACTCTCACTGCCATGTATTACTTCCTTTTTTAACAAAAATTGATTTCTAAACAACCTAACAGCATTAGAATTCATCTATAACCCAAACCTTTTTGTTAGGACTGGACAAAGTAGGGAATGATTAGGATCAATGTTTACATATTTTTGCTGTCGGTATCCCATTTTCCTTTCTAGAAGGCATAACAGGATAGGCGTAAAACTCTATCTAAAATAAGAGGAAATCCCTTCATGGACAGTTGACACCTGTATGAAAACAAAAATTGTGACATACATATGAGGTATTACCACACACGTAAGAGTGAAGGCAAAAATTTGAGTGCCATCAATCACTATTAATTCTAAACCGCTGAACTGTAAAGACTTATTGCTAAGTTTGTGTACAGCAGTTTTTTGCCAGTTCACGGGTGTGTGCAATTTTGAGACTTGATATATTTGGTATCTAAAATCTCACAGAAGAAGACCAATAATCGCACTCCATGGATCTTCCCAAATCACAGCCATTTACAGTATTGTAAATAGCAGTAACAGACTATGCATGCGAAACCTCTCACACATTTCACCTTCACGGCTTAATCATAGAGTCATATGTAGACATATAAAATTGTAACTGCCAGCATTTTGATTTACAGGGACTCTACTTTCAAATAGTGTATATTGTGGGGGGTATAAAGTATTCTTCAGGCCTAAAATGTACATGTAACATTTGCAAAATGGTAAAGAATAAGTGCACTTTCAAATTAAGTTTACATATCCTTATGTCCCTCCACCTGACCAGAAGTCCCCCCCAGATGCATACTTATCTTCATCTTATGGGCACAGCCTCCAACAATTTTTACACTCTTGATGCTCAGCATCTGCACAGTAGATTCCCCTAGAATTTTATGAGGCTGTCTTCCCAGGGCATATCCTGGGCATCTCAGACCATGGGAGACAGTCCTATAGAAGTCTATTGAAAACTGTGTGGGCACAATCAGCACAAAAAAATATTTCCACAAAGGATGTAAACACAGTCAGTGACTGCAGGATATAGGTTAGTATGCATCTGGGGAAAGCGAGGGTAGTTTAGGTCGTGGGGAGGAGAAAAAAGGATTAGTGCCTTTCTCCTTTAAAGATAATTTTTTTTTTTTACAATGTAAAACTTTTTACATTAAAGATGCAGTATTCTTTAAGCAAATTGTGCTTTTCTTGTAGACATGTTTTCTTTGGGTGTCCTGCAAACATTGTGTCCAGATCTATTTGAATGCTACCAGGTAAGTTGTTCCAAAACTGTCATTTAAAAAATTAAATGTGTGACAAGTCATTTGATAACCCCTTTCAGGGCTAATCCTCTAATTCTACGCACGGGGTAAATTACTCAAAATGCTGCCCTCGCTTAATAATGTATTTATTTCCAGTGCACTGAGCGCTCTAAACCCTGAAATAATTCAACAATCTACAAACACATACTTCTAGATAATTGCCGGCTTTTTATTTTTGCATACCTTCTCACAGTCACACTCGCATTTTAACTAAGGGCAGGTTACTAGATCTCCCTTTACTTCCTGGAACTCTGACACATGTGACTAGGGCAAGTGACCATGCGCATCATCTCAGGGGAGGAAAATGCCTTTCCCTAAGATCTTGTGAGATTACAGAGGAAATTTCCCAGCAATGCACTGCTGCTATAATCTTCTCAGGATGCAATTCTTGGACACAATTACATCATTTGTGTCAACGTGGACCAGGAAGTGGAAAAAAAGATATACAAATATGTTTGTTTAGCTAGTAATTGTAAGATGATTTCATATCAGCATGCAGAGCTGTATTCTGATATGATTTTTATTCAAAGGGGGGTAAAGGTCCACTTTAAGTCCTGGGAGAGACCATCATATTGAATTAATGCTGGCTGTAGTATGGAAAATAAAAGGCAGGACTTCTTGAAATGTTAGTTAAGGCAGTGGCGTCACAAGGAGGGTGCGGGGGGTACGGCCCACACCCTCGTGACACCATTGCAGGGGTGACACCAAAATGACTGACTGGTGTCCCCCCTCTAAAAAGTCATGGACTGAGAGCCCCAACAGTATCAGGAGAGAGGAGGGGACCCAGGGGCATACCTCATCCCGCCGGGCGAACGTCCCCTCCTCTCTCTGCCGACGTCCATCACCAAGATGGCCACCGGCAGACGTCAATCTGATAGTTAATCTGAGGTAACGTCACGCGCGATGACGACACGACGGGGTGTCATCCGTTCTGGAGACCGGGTGACAACCGGCCTCGGGACGCCCCTGAGTTAAGGTGTTAAAGATTTAAACGTTAAAGCTCCCCACACATGTTACAATCTGATTATGCAAACTTCTTTTAATCTACCAACAAGAATGAAGTGCAAAAGCCTGCGTGATTGGACATAATTTAATTGGACAGATTAGGTAGACCCTCATATTACATAGTTTTGGTAGATTTGATTGCACAGAGATTGTACAGTCAGAGTGTAGCAGACTGAAACGTGTATGGTGAGTGTTTAGTTTGCTAAAGCACTGTGTTTCATATACAATTACCATTTTTAAAATATTTAAAATATTTTTTTTCATATTTTTATATTTTTTGCATCTCAACACTGCTGCGGCAGATGTGCTCCAGTCTTTTTCAGACACTTCCTGTCTGTACAAATCTCTACTCAATCTCTGATGGTGAAACATGCCTTCGCATTGTGTGTTGGCACAGCTAGTGTTGTAGTCTTCACCAGAGATGCATGTGACAGGGTGGCAACACAGAGAAAATAACTGGGAGACAGTTGTCACCCCATAAGGTAAGTGCTTGAACAAGGACCTTCATAACAGTATCACCTTAAAACGATGAAAAACTAATTTTAAAATTACATTAACATCTGAAAGCTTATATGGGATCAATCGCATGAGTCACGAATTGCTCTGAGAGACTCATGTGATCAAGTGTGGGCAGGAGGCCCCATGACAGCTGCCAGCGCCTGCAGCTGTTTGCATGTCATTGCACATACTGCAATAACCTGTGCATGATCACCCGGGATTCAAACAGTCTGTGTCTAGCTGAGATCATTTGCAGGTAATCGCAGCAGGTTTAGTTTACAGGTAAATTACCTGTAAACTAAACAATTTGTGAGTCATTTTAATATGACCTTGAGAATCACATGGAAAAACACTGACCCTTTAAATCATGCTTGAGAGAAGTCTTTAAGCTGTATGTGGTGTATAAAACAGTACACTTTTCACTTACAGCGGCAATGCAAATGTATTCTGGCATCACCTATTTTAGATGTGTAATTGATTTGTTGTCTTTTATATTTAGCTTGACTTAAATACAGGAGCAGTAGCCTCATTTTAATAATTTTAACTTGAATAAAAGGCTTCGTTAGGTAGGTTTTGGCTGAGACATCTGATTTTTTTATTTAGTGGTATTAGCTCTGAATTGAATGTTGGATGTACCAGCCAACCAGACGTTTAGTCTTAAAAAAAGTAAGAGCTCTCATCCTAAGTTGACCAATGGCAAAACAGTTTAATGGTATAGTTTGTGAGCTTTTTTTTTTCTTTCCTTTTTTGCAGTATCACACTGCATTGTCTTAAATGTTTAATAAAACGTTAAAACAGAGTGCACAAGAACACCTCAAAACTAAAACCCCACATACCCCGAACCCCCCTGTTTTTATCTTGAAGTTGAAATTATAGTACAGGCAGTCCCCGAGTTACAAACATCCGATGCACATACGACCCCCTACTTACAAACAGAGGTTATTACTGTACAGCAGGGGTTTCCAAGCTGCAGCCAAAGTATACCGCGCAGCATTTCAGTAGTTGTAATGCTACCGCGCTCGTGTCGACGAGAAGTGCCCGCCTTTTTCGGTCTGGTTCGTAGTACTGTATGTACATTACAGGAAGTTGGCTCTTTGTTAGACGTGCAGACGAGGGGTGCCTGCCTCTTCTTCCGGGTCACTGTGAGGTTTTTATTGCTGTCTGTATCCTCATTAGAAAGATTTAATCTCACTTCCTGTCCTTGAGACAACAGGAAGTGAGAGGAAATCTACCTTTACCCATGGGAAAAAGGTGTCTCCACTGAAGCTTTATCACCAATCCTTGTTTCCACAACAACCCAAAATTTTCCAAATTAATTTGTTGCAGGGACAGAAAGTGAGGTGAAATCTTCTGAACACGGGCACACACAGCAAAACAAACGTTACAGGGGGTTAATCATTCCCTATGCTATCCAAAACTAGAAACAAATTTTTGGCTGCAGTTACACACAAAAAAATTACCTGTTCCAACTTACATACAAATTCAGCTTAAGAGCAAACCTACAGTCCCTATCTTGTTCGTAACCCAGGGACTGGCTGTATATTATTTGAGAGACAATAGCCATATGGTCTGGTGGTCTGAGTCCCACTTCATCCAAGGTCTTGCACTGTAACCCCATCCCCTGTTGGAAATTTCCTGGGCAGATTCCCAGCTGCAATTTCTTTTCTTTCCAATTTCTTTCCTTTTTTGTTTTTACTTATGTTATTTTTGTAACGTAGTAACATAGTATGTAAGGTTGAATACAGACCAAGGTTCATCCAGTTCAACCTATGCGTGTGTCTGTGTGTGTGTATATCTTTATCTTGCTCAAACACTTCCCATATCACTGTAGATTCTGCGAATGCAGAAACTCATCCGGAAGTTTCTTGAATTTATCAATGATATCCGCACACACATCCGCAAGGTCCCCTCTTAATCGCCTCTTTTCCAAGGTGAATACGTTTAGATTTTGAATGTGGTCTTCATAACTCAGGCCTTCAATCCCTTTAATTAATTTTGTAGCCCTTCACTGAACTCTCTCCAGTTCCAAGATGTCCCTCCTGAGAGAACTGCACCGTATACTCAGGGTGGGGCCGAACATCTAAATTTATAAAGTGGAAGTATTACTCTTTGATCCCTTGCTACAATTCCTCTTTAATATACCCCAGTATCTTGTTAGATTTACTTGCTGCTGCTTGGCACTGGCTTACTATTGCCAAATCTGTGATCTATGAGCACCCCCAGATCTTTTTCTATTCCTGACTTCCCTAATGTAGCACCCCCAAGTAGTAGATTGCGCACATGTTCTTTACTCCCATGTGCATAACCTTACATTTTTCAACATTAAATCGCATTTGCCATCTTGTAGCCCATGCCTCAATTTTGCTGAGGACTTGTTGTAGTGCGAATATCTCTTGTTCGGAATTTACTGCTCTGCAGAGTTTGGTATCATCCGCAAAAACTGAAACTGAGCTATTTAGCCCAATCTCTATGTCGTTGATAAATAAGATGAACAGGATTGGTACCAGGACTGAACCCTGGGGTACCCCACTCTCCACCCTTGCCCAATTAGCGAATGACCCATTTATCACTACCCTCTGGGTCCGTTCTTGCAGCCAATTTTCCACCTATGTACATCCAATTTCATCTAGAAAACCCAAAACCAAATATGTTTATATATTCCAACCTACTAGTCTCTAGAATTGATGGCTGCATTCGTTTCTTTTTCCAGGCTTTTTTCTTTATTTTCACCTAGTGGTCCTGCCTGTAACATACAGTACTTCCTGTCCTCGGGTGACAACGCTCCTTCTCTCCACTGTATCTATATGGGAGCAGCATTTTCCCTTCAGGCTGCTCTCTTTATTTGGACTACAAACACCTCCTGCTCCTGCTCTCCTAATATCCATCAAATAAAGGGTAGTATTTTATGGGATAGTGCTTGCTACAGCCACCACATCTAAGGAAGTATGAACTACAATAAAAAAAAATTGTCCATGGGTTTACACACACTTTAATATATGACTCCTTTTAATGTAACTTTTAAATCTGCAACATATATAAAATATAGATATCACATTTTGTTCATTCAAAGATCCATTTTCCTTCAACTTTGATCTGTAAACCTGAACTAAAATGTAGGCTGCTTTTTCTTCTTTATATTGGAAAAATTCGTTTTAGCCTAATATTATATATTTTAGGTGATTTGCTACTTTTTTATACATATTTTATTACAATTTGTTATAATTTTGTTGTCCTGGCTTTAAACATTAGCCTCCAAGATTGTCCTCAATCTTGAATTTTGTGTAAGTATAATTGTAAGTTCATACACTTATAAAATGTTTAGCAATTTCTTCTGATAAAGAGGTTGTGCACTAAGCCCGAAATACATACAGGGTTATTTACAAAAGGGTGAAGAGTTTGGAGAAGGCAGGAGAAGTGGACAATCTAGGACAACATAGCTGAACTGGAAAGTGAGCTAACTTGGAGAATTTTTCCACATCTGCTATTTTGTCCGATATTGTTCTCCTGCCTTCTCCAAACTCTTCCCCTTTTGTGAATAACCCTGATAAAAATGTACCTAGTTGCAGTACCTTCATAGCAAAGTAGGAGTCCAAAGTGAATGTGCCTACTTTTTACTACCAGCAAGTCACATTTTTGTACCTGTACATGGTGTGTTTCTGTAACTGCATCCAAACAACATGTTCCACTTCTGTACCAGGAATGCCATGGATTACTGATTGCATTCCATATCACATTTATTTTGATTGATGTCAACCTCTTGACAGTTATTGGTGATAGTTTGGTGTTCTTTGGTGTTCTTTTTAGACTATGCCACCCATCATAATAACTCTAACAAAAGATTCTGAAGGGTGGGCAGATAAGATCATTTATTATATATTGGGTCATTTCACAGCAGTGGTCCAGTCTTTAGATCCAAATATCCATGGGGTCATGGATCAAATAGGTACCTCTGTCAGCTTTATATTGTTGAGAAATAGATAATCCGCGCTTCTGGAAAGGAGACTAAAGTGGAAATGTATAATAAATTAAGACCTAAAGCAGCCCTAAAAAGAGGATAGAAGAATCCTATCAACAGTCGAGAAAACAAACTGTCAGGTCATGTCACTCAAATCCTCAAAAAGCTTATTCCTGACGCCACTACAGCTGACCTCATGGTGAATAGCCAAACCGTCCTTTATGCCAGATGCCGTCCCTAGAGACGTGCTAGCTCGGATAATCTTTTATGATTCTATGTAAGACATATCACTTGTTTTAGGGCTAGACCGCCTAAACCTAAAATTTCAATATATCACTTGGTTATACTAAGTTTCATATTAGTTACACCTTTAGCGCTTTGATATATATTTTTCTCAGCTTTATATTGTTGCCTGTGTTTCCACTGGGGTGATTCACTCTCTGTATTTGACCTGTTAGTATAGTCACTGAGACTGAAAGTATGGGAAAATCCCAAATTTGTGTTCTGATTAAGTATAGAGGGGCAATCTTCCAATGGTGGCATTTTTTTCTGGTGACAACTATCTAAGAGGGTATTCTGCTTATTTTAGAGATTTTTGTCTCACTTTGTTCTGTGTTTTTGAGACAGGAAGTAAAGAGAAGTCTTCCCATTGAGAAGATCTTACAATGGGACTGCTGCTTCTCTTTTCATTATCCTTTGCAGTCTGGGGTAGTGAAAACAGCTATAAATGTTACCTAAATAAAGCAGAGAAAAATTAGGTATTCTGCCCTGTCTGACAGACTTGTGTGGTGTGCCAGGGCTGTGTAAACATCTGATCTGGATGTTCTGCATGTATTTTTGCAGATAAAATGGTTCCTATATATTGATTTCACCTATTTAGTGTTTTGCCCGGAGTTCAGCTTTAAATGAAACTATTTGGGAATAACACACATCAGTATAGTCCCAATAATTTCTCTCCCTTACAATCTCAGTTGCAAGCTGTATCCTTTAACAACAGCTCAGCAATTGAAAACTCTCTAGCTGTTGCTAATAATGCAATGGATAAAAAATGTAAAAAGTGAATCACACCCCCTTTTTTGGGGGGACAGTGTACTTTATTCTTTGTTTAATAGACTCAAATCCTATCATTTAATTAATGAGTTACATTCTGTACAATAAAACAGAAATATATTTAGTCTGTACATACCTATTTCATATTCAACAGTATACTTAATTCTTTTTATGACGGCATAGGGATTTAACTACATAGAAAGGTTTTCAAGTAATTAAATTATGAGACACTGAGATCTAACAGGGAGTAAATTTCAGTGATATATGGCATGTTAAAGAAAAAATTTTAAGCAAAAAACCCATGTTTTAAAAAAACAATTATGTAACTACTGCAAATGAAGACCGTGAACTTACAACTCCAGTTAGATGCTTTTGAAAGTTGAGGTGTCATGAAGCATGTTATTGTGTTACTGAGCCCTACAAGGAAATTGTTAAGCCTATTTATAATAGCTTTCTTTTTTTTTTTGCCTTAGTCAAAATATAATAAAACTGTTCAGAGCTGATTCATAAATGGGAACTCAATAGACAAAACTTTGTCTATGGTTTTCCATGTAAAGAAAAAATACCATTATAGGACCTCATAATTGGAAAATGTGTGAAAGTAAGGGTGTGATAGAAAAAAAAGGGTGAATCTTCAGTGAAAGATGTATGAATCTTGAATGAAAACACTGTTTAATAGGCCCATATGTCACAAAACTTAAGTCAAGTGTCATTCCTATGATACATGAGAGCTTCTGGCTATAAAACTATTTATGACAGGCATAGCAATGGTTATATTGAGGGTAAGCTCACTTGGTAGTCACCCTGTGGAGGAATTACATGGAAGGTAATCAGGATCCCTGGGTCAGTACTAATAACATATGTTGGGATGTTGGTAATGACTGGAGATACTTTAGCATTCAGAAAAAAATAAGAGCAGCTCCTGCAGTCAGTGGCACATGCTAGGTATTATATAGTTGCCTACTAACTGTTCAGACCTTTGATCACAGCGTCTGGCAGAGAGTAGAGGAAAAGGCAAAGGGAAGTCTTCCAGCACCAATTTTTTTTCATTTCTGAGATGATATGTGACCCAATACCAGGAACTGTAGACGAAGCAATGCCTGAAGACATGTCCTTTAAGAGTATCTACTCCAATTATTTCCACCAAGCAATGTGGTATTATGGTACACCTTGCATGGTGTACTTTCTTTAAACCATAGAAATCTGCCCCTACAATGAAGGAGCTAGTTGCCTTATTTGCTTCTCAGACCAAATGTTCCTAGTTCTCCTCTCAGACTCAGTTATACCCCCTTAAAGCCAACAATACACATGGAGGGTCCATACTCTCACAAGGCTACTAAATTATTATTATATTATTATACAGGATTTATATAGCGCCCACAGTTTGTGCAGCACTTTACAATGTAAGGAAGACATTACAATCACAATACAATTCAAGACAAGATGGTAAGGATGGCCCTGCTCGTGAGGGCTTACAATCTAAAAGTCTGTTTATATATTAGTATCCACACAGGAAAAAGAAAATGGCAAGCTGTTCAGTTTCTGACTAGCAAAGAGGATGCATGCGGGAGAGGCAGTAAGTGCACACAATATTTCCCAGGTTTCAACCCTACCACCTGGCAAACGGGACCACAGTCACTTTAGGCTTTACATTTTGTTGACAAGGCAGACAGATAGTTTATTAAAGCATGGACAAGAATTGTACTGTGCTTCTGGGTATAAAACTATTTATGAGCTTTATGGACATTATTAGAGAACTCTCTTTATGTCATTGTGCTATATATCTTTTTAGGTGTTTTCTGATGGTGCTGTTGACAGTAAATCTGACTATCTGGATTATGCTGGTGACTGAAGAGTCCAGACATCACACAACTGAACTACAGGAGTACTTTAACATAAATGATTTGGAAACAAATAGCAGTGAACATCAAGGTACACACATTCTTTTTTAAACTGTACATCTTTTTTCTTCTGCCTGACTGTTAGAACCATGAACATTCTGCCCCTGCCTAACAGTTTTGTTAGATCTAAGCTAGAGGTGACAACGTTTGAAGTGACTAAGATATCTACACTACAAATCCGCAACATTTACATTTTCACTAGGCAGGTGACTGAATGCTACAACTTTGTAAAAATGCTACTTTTCCATGTAAATTTTTCAGCCACTAGGGATAAGCAGACAACTTCAATAAGCCTGATTTTGAAGCAAGATTACTGATTTCACATTCACCTAAATTTAATTAAAATGAGCATCTAATTTTGACGCGTAGCACTGCAAGGTAAGATTAGTTTAACACCGATGCCACCGAGATCACTTGTAATGTACCTGCAGGTCTGCAAAGTGACGAGGAAGCATGGAGCCGGCTTTCTGGCCAATCAGGAAGCCGGGCGCCGTGTGATGACTCTTTGCCCAGCTTCCTGATTGTTCGAGAATCTGGCCAATCAGGAAGCCGGGCAACAAGTCATTACACAGCGCCCGGCTTCCTGATTGGCCAGGAAGCCAGCTCCATGGAGCCAGCTTTCTGGCCAATCAAGAACCCAGGCACCGTGTGATGACTCTTTGCCCAGCTTGACCAGGTGATGAGGGAGCATGGAGCTAGCTTTCTGGCCAATCAGAAAGCCGGGGGGTGGGTAATGACTCGTCGTCCGGCTTCCTGATTAGGCAGCTTCCCAAGCAATCAGGAACCATGGAGGTGGCTCCCCCCGGCCAATCAGGAAGTCAGGCAGCGTGTAATGGCTCGCTGCATGACTTCCTGATACCAGAAGCTCAGCTATCGGGCTAGGGATCGGAGCATTTGGGAGAGTACGAATACTCGCCCAAAATACTAGCATATAAGGATTTAGAGGGGTTGGAATAAACCATTTAACACTGACAGAGTGCTTACAATAGTCACCGTATATTCATATGCTTTAAACCTTTTTTTCACAAGAAAAACCTGTTGCTGTAACTGCTTTAATTGAGTTAGCCGGAGTTATGCTTTAATTAATTTGTCAAGCTGCAATAAAGTTATATTTTTAGACCTCAGATCATCCCCAATTACTGCACCTTCAGACTTCAGATCAGCCCCAATTCCTCCACATTCAGCTCTCAGATTAGCCCCAATTCTTGCACCATCAGAAACACAGAGGATTTTCCTTCATGCCTGGAGGAAGTGACGGTTGTACTGAGAGGAGAAGAGGGTAGGTGGCAGGCTTCTTCAAATAACAATGTGCACAGCCAAAGGCAGGTCCACACTGCTACTGGGAGGAGGTCCAGCACCTGAACATCACTGATGTGAAATGAGCCGCTCTGAAACGTTATTGGGGGTAGATGGGCCAGGGGTGTAGAAGGACAGGTGAGGCTTTGTCATTGACAGCCTAGTGTGCTGTCAGTTACAGCCTATGACAGTTGTTCTGTATTTGTAATGCGTCATGGCCTACCTGAGGATCTTCCGGTTTACTGGCAGGCTGTGACGCATGATAATCTTCTAAGTGCCACTGAAATAACATTGCATGCCTTGGAACGTGTGCCTTAAGTTGCCTGGCTCTGCTTTATAAGGTTATTATTTTTGTCTCTGTCCTAGTGACTGTTGGTTATGTGTTTAGCACTGAGATCTTAAGGAATGCAGAATTAAGTTTTACTTGCTTAGAAGGCCATTACATCAGAATACAACATTATACAGCATACAGAGAGAACTTCCTGTATATCGCAGATTTAAGCATGCATATAGAAATCTAGCATAGACTAGCATTGCACTACAGCGGCATCTACAGCACATAAGACATAAGAGTAGAATGTCAGTAATATGCTGTTGTATTTCCAACAGTGACAACAACTCTGCTTATTTCCTGACCTGCTGTCACAGGGCAAGAAGTGCGGTTAACTTTCTATGTGTTAAAAATGTTGTCTAATTTTGAAAACAATGTTTTCCCTATGAAACTGGACTTTAATTTTCTTACTATTCCATGTTACCTTTCTCAACAGATGTGAATAAAGATGTGAAGAATTGTTTTTGCGAGTTCAAATGTGCAGTTAACGACAAAGTGTTTATTTACTTGTACCCTTTTCATATTGAGTACAACCTCTTTGCTGCAGCAATGATTTATATCATGTGGAAGAATGTTGGACGCCAGATTGATGAAAATGCTTCTTTCCACCATGGACTGGGGCCAGGAGTCCGTCAACATGTTCCGCTTCTGGGTCTTGTTTTTGGTTTGGCCATTCTGATTACAGGAATAGTTATGTTTATCATGTATGAAGTGGGTAGAGAGAATCCTCAAAAACACTGGCTACCTTTGACTACTTTCTACTTCTTTCATTTAATCAGCCTTGTTCTCATGTGCTTGGCCAATGTGGTGGGGATTATAATTTTCAAGCTGGATAAAAGAAACATGGACAATGAGAAAAACCCAACCCGGACCTTAGATACAGTTCTGCTCCTGTTAGCAACATTAGGCCAATATGGAATTTCCTATTATTCTATTATAGCCATGGTATCCACAGTGCCCTTCAGCCTCTTGTGTGGTTTAACATTTTCTTATTCTTTACTAATGATTTTTCAACACTCCCTTCAAAATGCTTTTATAATAGAAGGCTTGCACCGGCTGCCCCCCATTAACTTACTTCATGCTCATCAGGGCATAAGTCACCCTAGGCCTGTGGAACAACATGATTCTATAAAACGTAGAAGTGTACCAGAGAAAGAAAGCAGATTGTCCCTGGCAAGCCATCCAGGAAATTCAAGAATGCAAAGAAGAGAAACTTTGACTCAGCATATTAAGAGCCATCTTAAGAAAAGAAAAACAATGAAGGACATTTACTTGTTTCTCTTCCTCTGCAACCTTATAGTAAGTATTTCATGTCTTTGCATCCGAGGCATACACAGGCTCAGTTTTTTCAACAGTACAATACAGTACAGTACAGTGATTTTGAAATCATTTCTAGAAGCTGATTTACTAAAGGAGTAGAGCATTTCCACTTTGGAAAGTGAGTGTTCAACTAGCTTAGTAAATAAGGCGAAGCTTCATTCATCAAATCAATGCAATAATCATGTTTCTCTTGCCTGATTGGGTAGTCAATGTGAAATTTACTAAGCAAACATCCTCTACTCCTTTAGAAAAGGCCTGCAAGCCTTTATACTTCCTGCAACCCCAGGCCAACTGTTTTTCTTAATTGATCATTAACCCCTTAAGGACCAAGCTTCAGATGCTTGACTTTCAGTTAAGGACCAAAGCAATTTTTGCTGTGTGTGTGTTCAACCGCAATTTCCATCTTTCTCATTTATTGCACCAACACATATTATATACTGTTTTTAAAGGAAAAAAAGGGCTTTAATTTGATGTGACATATACATATATAAGTTCTCATATAGTGCATGAGGGAAGCTTAAACCTTTAAGAAATTATTCCATCATGGGTCCTAATGGCACTGACAACCATGGCGGAATAATTCCGCTATTGGTCCTTAAGGGGTTAAAGCAGAACTCCAGGAAAAAAATATTAGTAAACAAGGCATGCTGGGGCTACCTCTGCAATGCAAGACTTAAGTGCTTGCTTTTTGTCTAGGGTATAAAATGAAACATTTATACTCACCTGAACCTGGCAGAGGGTCAGATTGAGACAACTGGGTTAAACTGCTACCTACAGATGATTGGTCACTTGTAAACATAACTATTATTTAGCCTGGTATAACCTATCCCACTCCCATCATGCTTCAGGTTTTACTAGTGTCTTAGGTGAATTAACTACTTCTCTCCTCAGATAGAAGCAACACTTTATTACACACATTTTTTCTGGTTTTATCAATACCTGTTTCTTCAGTAGAGTTTATTTGCTTACTGCAGAGTCCAGAGAGCCCATATATGCAGTTTTTCCAGATTGGCTCGTATTTAGAATAGCCTTGGAGGCTGTATACCAACTTTACCATGATGAATATGTGAGGACGACCTGAAATGTGTGTGATGACATTGGTCCTTAATGGCACAGTGCATAAGATCCTAGACCTAGAACAGCCTGTGTTGGCCATACCTAAGGTTGCCTGGGGTTCTCTTAGAAGTCCTTAGTCTGCTAAAATATTTCCTGTGCACTCAACATTGCAACCTGTTTTGTATAATGATTACTTTATTCAAGAGAAAATATCATGCCTGGGACCTTACTCTATTTTGTTGATTAGTTGTGGGATATTATTATTTACCAGAATGAGTCTCCTTTCAGTACACATGAGCGGGACCTTCAAATGTTGGTTTGCAGAATGGCAGTGCAGAAAGCCTATTGCACTTGTCTTTTGAGGGGGGGAACCCCTCTTTGGTGAATTCCTAGACACCTTTGGTAACACCTTTACAGCCACTTCCCACATATATGTAGTGTCAAGGAAGCACGCTCTCTTACTGTATGTGCACCTGTGTTTGTGCTGGAATACTTGCATCTCCCCATTGCTTTTTGTGTTTTGCAGTGGATACTCAACATTACCAATTTGTTGCCCTTCCCTTTGGTCTATTGGCTGCACCTCATGTCTTCATCAAGGCACTAGCACCTGTACTTGCTTTGGTTTGCACTCCGGGCATTCCCATAAAGGGATACTTGGATGACCTCCTACTGAGGGAGCAGTCAGCACACACTCAGTCAGTCAATGTCCAATAGACTGTTCAAACTCTGCAGAGGTTTGGGTGGATCCTGAGCCTTCAAAAGTCAGTGCTGGATCAGACTCATTGCTTTCAAGGCCTTTACCTGGGCACTTCCGTGTCTGGGGCCTTCATTCCACAGGACAAAGCTTGAAAGTCTCCACTCCCATGTTCAGGCACTTCAGTCCAGCAGCCAATCAGCACTCTGCTTTTGCATGAAAGTTCCATGCTTATTGGTGGTCTCCTTCAAGGCACTTCCATATACCCAATTTCACTCCAGACTAATGCAACTCATCATTCTGGCTGCATGGGACAAGAATCCCCAGACTGTGGACCATCTCATCCAGCTTAACCCCAAAACCTTCCTCCCACTTGCCTGGAAGGTTCTATTGATGGATGCCAGCCTGTTGGGCTGGGCAGGAGTCCTCGATTTTCTCTCAGTGCAAGGGATTGGTCAGTGGAGGAAGCTCTCCTCCCAATCAACATTGTGGAACTCGCTTTCCTGAAATCCGTTTATCCCTTCAACAATGGGCGTCTCGACTGCACATTCACTTGACCAGGAATTAGTCAGACAATGCCACAGCAGTGACTTACATCAACCATCAGGGAGGAACCAGAAGACTAAAAGAGCTCAGATGGTAGTCTGCTGAACATCATTGGAATTAATGCTTATTACATTATGAAAGCTGTTACTCAAAAGAAGAGCAGCCTTTTGCCCCAACTAAGGAAGACTAAGCCATTGACTGGGAAACCTTCTACCTCTGAATCTAAGAAGAGTTCCTTTTGTTTCATCTATTCCTCTAAGTCTAAGCCTGGGACTCAGTTCCATCACAAGTCCTGGACTATGAAATCCTGCAAGCGAGTCATCACCAAAATTAGAGGACACCCCACTTCTCAAAGTGGGGAGATGTCAGTTAGCCTTTTGCAGCCAACTGTACCCATATTATCTCAAATGCATGGGTTCAAAACATGGCCTTCAGGGCTACAAGCTAGGAAAACCTCTGCCCGGCTTCATATAGTCAAATCTGCGGATGTCTCTGCAAAGACGCGGAACTCTCTGCTGCTTTGGCACAACTCCTTTCTCAGGGAGCCATAGCCAGTGTCCCAGAAAAGCAAAGGTTTTAGGGTGTCTACTCAAATCTGTTCACAGTTCCTAAAGTTAAAGGGGGCATTCGCCTCATTCTGAATCCAAAGGTATTCAATACCTTCATTTAAGTGCAAAAATTACGCATGGAATCTACCAAGTTAGACATTGCTTTATTCCATCCAGGGGGGATTTTCTATCCACTGTGGACGTCAAAGATGCCTACTTGTATATTTCCATCTCTCCAGCGCACCAACACTACCTGCAGTTTGCTGTGGGCACACAGCATTATATGTTTGTTGTCCTTTCTTTTGGTCTGTCCACTGCACTGCAGGTGCTAGCCCGTGTGCATGTTCTGCTTTGTTCACGGGGCATCCCCATGGTGAGATACCTTGATGACCTTCTGCTGAGGAAACAGTCGGCACAGACTTTATTAGTCTCCGTTCAACAGACCGTCCAAACTCTACAGAGGTTTGGTTGTTTCTGAACTTTCAGCACCAGAGCTGACTCATCACTTGAAATATCTAGGTCTCCTTTTAGATACTCTTTAGCTGACAACTTCTGGGCTCCGGAGTTTGTCCTCTTCACCCACAGGTGTATTATCATCTCTGACGCAGGCATTTTGCCTATGCCAGGGTATTTTTCCATTCCAATATCGGGGAGGGAGTGAGTAGCCATGTCTCAGTGTTTGCTGATGATACGAAAATTGGGAGGGTAATAGACACAGATTTAGACATTATAACATTACAGGAGGACCTGGATAAAATCAGGGAGTGGGCAACTGTATGGCAGATGGAGTTCAATGTCGATAAATGCAAGGTAATGCACTTTGGAGTTAAAAACAGGCAAATGGACTATACACTTATGGGTGTGCCACTAGGGAAGTCGGAAACGGAGAAGGATTTGGGGGTCATTATAGACCGCAGATTGAAGAACAGCTCGCAGTGCCAGATTGCATTAAACAAAGCAAGCAGAGTCCTGTCTTGCATTAAGAAGGGAATGTATTCCAGGGACAAGTCTATAATTTTGCCACTTTACAGATCACTGGTTCGGCCACATCTGGAGTATGCGGTCCAGTTCTGGTCACCGATACTCAGAAAAGATGTCCTTGAGCTGGAAAAAGTCCAGCGCAGGGCACACAAACTCATTAGGGGTTCGAGGACCTGAACTATGAAACAAGGTTGTTAAAATGAAATATTTTCTCTTTGGAGGTTAGGAGATTAAGGGGGGACATGATTTTCTTGTATAAACTGTTAAACGGCGACAGCAACATTATTAACAAACTGTTTACGGTTAGCTCCGTAACAAAGACCAGAGGGCACCACCAAAAATTGGTTGAAAAAAAAATTCTACACACTGGGCGAAGGGGGTTCTTCACAGTTAGAGCTGTTAGGGTCTGGAACTCGCTGCCGCAGGAAGTGATTTCAGCTAAGAGTGTGGAATCATTCAAGAAACTCCTGACCGAGTTCCTTGGAGACCATAACATAAAGGGGTACAAGTACGCTTAAGAGCAAAATCACACATGGACTCATAAAAATACACGCACACACCTGCTCAAACATAAATGCATACACGCAATAGGTTGGACTTATGTCTTTATTCAACCTCAAATACTATGTAACTATGTAACAATGAGCAATACTCTAACTAAAATATGTAATAATAATCCTTTACTTTGCATTCCTCTTAACTTTAGAGATCTGTTATGTACACTTGGGAGCTGAGAGTCAGCACCTGTTAGCATAGGATCAGAAAGGTGACAGAACAGACCTTAGAGGACTTCTAATTTCTGTCTCTAGAGTTGTAAACATGTAAATCATAATAAGATGATACATATATACTCTATATTGCAGCCGAATTAAAATACAGCTACAGGCAGTAAAGACCCATGTGCAGGGAGACATTCAGTTAGTGAAAGGGCTGGACTACCTACAAGGTGACCTAGGCGGGTGCCTGGAGGCTGTCCAGAGGCCTGTACACATAGAAAAGCTGAATGTTTCTCATAAGTGTTTCAGGTGGCTATATATATAGCTGTTTGATCACTTCTGCCTGTTTCCAGCCCCAGTGCTCAGTGGCTCCTCTGTAAGCCTCTGAACGCAGCCAGTGATATTTAGGATAGAGAGCAGGGGTTCGGAGAAGATAGAAGAATTGCTATTTTCCCATCTAGTCTGCCCTATACTGAACTTAGAAGTGGGTCAGAGCTGTCAGACTCCCAGCTGGGTTAGCTGCAGATTGGTTCGCTTTGTCTTGACTTGTATGCAGTTTAGGCAGAGAAGGCATCAGGCATCCAATGAACTCCTAATGTACCAATAAAGAGCCCCTGTCTTTAGCTTTATAATGCTTATGGGGGCATTTCAGCATTTCACATGTTCACATTGTTAGAAAGATCCATGCATTCCAGACAGTCAAACTGGCTTTTCAGAAAGAGATGTCAGTGATGGCAGCCTACATGTTCCCTAAGTATCTGTTACCTTTAAAGTAAACATGTGCCCAGATCATGCACACTTAAGTATTTTTTTTATTCTGAACAAGCAGCAAAGCACTTTAAAACAAGAGCTCATTGTTACCTGTATAGGCATTGCGGAGAAATTCTTTCTCAAAGTTTACCACACAGGACCCGAAATCAAACCTTTTTTCAATGAGAGCAGATCTTGGCAGACTGCCAGCAGAGAAGAGCCTGGGCTTATTGCATTCTCCGCCCCTTGCAGCTACACTTCACAAAGGGGTTGGGAAGGCCCCTGCTGCAACTGACTGAGCCATGAGGGGGGTGTCGGTCATGAGCCGACTTGGGCGAACTTGATTCACAGCAAGACCCAGCTCATCCATGACTGCCAGCCTTCTAAACCACTGTTTTTAAACCACTGACACCCAACTTTAGAGTCTTGTGATCTTTGAATGTCTTTGAGAAACAATAAATTCACATTAAAAGCAGTGAGAAAGATCAGGAATTAAAATACACGCTTTCAGGGCATTTGGAGCTCATCGCTAAACGCACCTGCAAGTCTGTAATGCTTTGCAATAGCTGAATGCACACCTAGACATTTAAGCAGGGTATAGGTGCATTCGTTCTAGCAGTGTTTTCACAAACAAGAAATTTCTGCGTCCTGAGACCAGTTAGCATGCTTTTATGTGGCTAAACACATGTAAGCGCGGCTGACCACATCTAAACACAGCTTAACCCAGGAACATCTAAAGAGAGGAAAAAGTGATCTGGGAAGCATAAAAGTTAGTATACTTCCCAAATACCTTCTCCAGTGTTGATTACAGGAAGGCCATTGTGCTTGGGGCTTAGAAATGCTAATAGATTATTATTCATGGTCTGGGCGCAGGTGCACTTTTAGAATAATGATAGAAAAAAAATTATCATTATTTTATTTTAAATTCTTTATTTATAAACAGCGAGGTAAGAAACAGAGAGTACAATCATAATATATGGGTCACAAGACCTCAGAACATTTCCAATCTAGAAACCCGACCGTAAAGTCATGACAGTAAATAGCTGAAAACAAAACAGAAATAAAAACCGGTGGAAGCATAGAAGTCAGTTCTAAAGCATATTTAGTCAACAATATTCATACTTTCCTCCATGTCGGGTGTTAATGAAGCTCTCTTCATCCCATCCTCTAAGGCATTTTATATTTTTATAACAAGAGGGAAATAATACCATGCAGCGGACTGTATGGTTCAGCCCACTAACGTGGATGGCCAGTCCCATTCCAGCCCCCTCTAAAAACATAAACCTATGTGGACAGAATAACATAACATTAAGCAGTACAAAGAATGTACAACACATAAGGGTAGAAGGGGAAAAGAACAAAAGAACAATTCCAGGTGTCGGTCGATTCCAGGCCATTCGGCCTGGATTACTCCTAATCTTAATAGCACTGAATAAAAGGTAAAGGAGATATTCCTGGGGCAGGGAATACCTTGAACACCACTTGCATCGTGGCTCTCACTAGTGGGTCGATCCAGGTGGTAAGTGGTAACTTTGGGACAATCCATGGGATGCCATGTAACGGCCATGGGCAATCTTCCTGTTCCAAGGTTACCCATAGTTTCTAGTCCGCATTACAACACCAGTCCACAACGACCGATAGGTGGGTCGCTCTATAGTAGAGAACAGGGTCTGGGAAGCTCAATCCCCCCGTTGTGCAAGGTCTGGAGAGTATCTGATGACAGAGTCGTGCCCTCTTGTTTGCCCACAGAAAGGCCAAGAAGTGGGATCGCATTTGTCTAAGATAAGCAGTCGGGACTGTAATGGGTAACGTCTGAAAGAGATATAGTAGTCTAGGCAGAATCCTCATTTTTAAAATGCTATTGCGACCCATCCACGTAAAAGTGGTACGGTCCCAGGACTTCAGATCCGCAATGATACGCTTCTGAATGGGGATAAAGTTCAGAGCTAAAGTGTCTTTGATGTCTGCTGGGATATACACCCCTAGGTATTTAATGTGAGACACCGCCCATTTGAACTGGAAGGACATACGGAGGCTGCAGAACCGAATGATGGGGATTGAAATATTAAGTGCCTCAGATTTACTGAGGTTCAGCTTGAAATTTGAGAGCCGTCCATAGGTCTCTAATACTTGTAAGATATTGGGAAGTGATGTTTCTGGGCTCGACACATAAAGTAGAAGATCATCTGCATAGGCTGCAACTTTATGGTGTCTGTCTCTGGTCTCAAGGCCTCTGATATCTGACGATTCCTGAATCATACGAAGGAGTGGCTCCAAGGTAAGGAGGAATATAAGGGGCGATAGCGGGCATCCCTGGCGGGGGCCATTCGAAATGTCGAATGGCTCCGACAGGACCCCATTCACTCTAACCACTGCTGTAGGATTCGAGTATAATGAACCTATCCACTGCCTCATGTTATTCCCCAAGCCTACATACCTTAACGTCTCTCGTAGGAACGCACAGTCTTTCCCTGTCAAACGCCTTTTCCGCGTCCAGTGACAGCAGGAGAAGAGGCTTAGACATGGACCGTGCTAGGTGGATTGCAGTCAGGGTCCTGATGGTGTTGTCTCTGGCCTCTCGGCCCGGGACAAAACCAACCTGGTCACGGTCCACCAACTCACCCAAAAAGGGGAGCAATCGGAAGGCCAAGATACGGGTGAATAACTTTAGGTCCACATTCAGCAGTGAGATTGGTCTGTAACTAGCGCATTGCGCTGGGTCTTTGCCCTCCTTCGGAATGACAGATATCTGAGCCCTCAAGGAGTCTCGAGGTAGAGGATGACCCTGCAGGATGGAGTTATAGGCTATAACAAATTGATCCCCCAGTAGGTCTGGGAACTGTTTGTAATAGGCCAGTGTGAGTCCGTCTGGTCCAGGCGCCTTGCCCGGTTTCGAGTCTTTCAGGGCTTTGTCTAATTCAGCTCTAGAGATGGGTGCTTCCAATGCCTGGCTATCTAAGTCCGTCAGGCAAGGCATACCCGAGACAGTCAGGTATTGTCGGATCGCCATGATTCGGTGGTCGCGGGAGTCTGAATCTAATGTTCAGATTCAGCTCTAGAGATGGGTGCTTGGGTGCTTCCAATGCCTGGCTATCTAAGTCCGTCAGGCAAGGCATACCCGAGTCAGTCAGGTATTGTCGGATCGCCATGATTCGGTGGTCGCGGGAGTCTGAATCTAATGTCGGGTGTAGGTTGTAAAGGTCCCTGAAGAAGGCCTGGAATTGGGCCGCAATGTCGTCTGACCGGGAAACCATGCGGCCAGATATGGCACGGAGTGTGGGTATGTAGGAAAAAATAATAATTATAAAGGATAAAAAACAGAACAAGTCATCAGTTTCCACAACAAGCTGTAATGGCAAAAATTATTATGTTAAAGCCCAGCTTCAGCCCCAATTTTTTTGTTTTTGTTTTAAAGCGAGAAGGGTTAAAGCCTTACTGTCTGTAACCCTATTGGGGAGATACTCTACATTTTTAGTAGGGTTGGGAAGAATAAGAACTTCTAACAAAGTTTTTATTGCAGACTGTGCCTTCCGATCCTGGTCCCCCCCCCCTACATACAGGTGTCACAGAGACAAAAAGTGAGGGGAAATCTAACGAGTAGGGTTACAAACAGAACATAAAACCTTACAACATTTTTACTCTTCCCTACTCTAGCTAAAAAAATATATTTGTCATGAGTTAGGCATTAACTCCACATTGCAGTGAAAAAAAAAACACAGTAATAAACATATTCAAAGAAAGTTTTCATAAGTAATCCTACTTACTGCCCCACTATCATCATTACATAACATGAGAGAAAACAATTACCAGCAAAAGAGGAATGTTAATGGAATAAGAATGATATATTATTTATGAATAAGTAATACTTTATGTTTGATTCACCTAGTTTACTGTGAGGAAGTGAAATTCTTTGAGAACAAACTAGCAGACATCATGCTAATATTATCATATATGACTTTTTATAGCAGTCATTGCCTATAGACCTGAGTTATTTATTGACACACTTGTCATATTCCCACAGTTCTGGATTATGCCAGCCTTCGGAGCTCGGATCAGGTTTGACTCAGGACTGGAGGTGAATTTTTATGGTTTTTCTATGTGGGCTATTATCACCAATATTTGCCTCCCCTTTGGAATTTTTTACCGGATGCATGCTGCCGCCAGTCTGCTGGAACTATATAGCATGTCCTAGAATGTCTACAATACTATCTGCTCTCTAGAATACAAGACTTCTCTGTACTACCAACAACTTAGCTGCTGCATAGCTGACATGTAAAACAACCTTGGGATTTAAAAGAAGAACCTGTTCAGATGAAAAGGGCTTGTGAAAAATCTGGACTGTGAAGTATTTTTGGGACACTAGTTGAGTTGTCACTGATCTAGAGCAAATTGTTCTTTAGCAAATGCTTTGCTGACTTTTGTTCTCTGCAAGACAGTAGTCCTGTCAACTCGCAATTCTTATAACAGGCCTTACTGGTGAGTTCTTTCAGTGGGATTGTCTAAAACAGAAGCATGTTTAAAACGCAATACTATACAAATTATATTGTGTCTAGCTTGTCTGTGTAGTGCCCATAACCATTGTTAAGGTTTTAGGATAGTCCCATTACATTGAGACTTTTTGTTGTAATGTATTAATAGGATAATGCTTGATAGCTAGAAAAAAAAGATTAGATTTCTGATATTTCCCATAAAACCCACTAGAATGCTAGATTTAAGAAAAAACTATGTTTAGCACATACTGGATTGTTGGGTAAAAAATACTAAAACATAAATCGCATACTTTATGCAACTCAAACAACTTAATTAAAATTTTTATCTTAATAAATCGAGTGATAATGTGTACTGAAGTTATTTAAGGTTTATATATAGTATTTTTTTAATTTCTGGATTGATTAGAGGAAGGTTAGAATGCCTGTGTGGTCTTTATCATGGATTATGTTCCCTATCCTGCGAAAAGCTCTCTCTGTTTTGATGGCACCAGGACAAAAATTAATAGCAAATCTAAAACGTTACCACTGTCAAGCCAAGAAGAAATATCTCCTACTTTGGAGAGATTTTCTTTCACTTGCTATTTTTGATCTTGGACAAGAAATAAAGAAGAGTTTTTCTTTAGGCACACAGAAAAATTGACATGAGCTAAAATTTATTCCATTACAATCCCTACCAAAAACTACAAAAATGTTGGGCTTGGTACTTTAGGGATTTGTATGAAGTATTTTTGGGACATTGGTTAAGTTGTCACAGGTCTAAAGCAAATTGTTGAGAAATTTTCCATCCAGTGTATAGCTGGGCAGTTGATATTTACACAGCACTAGCAGAACTAGATGGAATTTCTTATGTTCCTCATTACCATCTAGGGGAATATTTATAAATTAGCCCCTTTATGTTGCAAGAAAAAATAATCATATTGAAGTCTTTAGTCATTTTAGACACAGCACCATTTAATAACAGCAAGGTTACAGCACTGCTTTACTATGTCTTACAGTTGTATGCAGTCCAGCGTAATTCAGGACTGGTAATTTCAGGGATTTCGGCTGGGATTCAATCTGAAGTCCAGGACCGGAGTTGCTGCTCCTAGACATGCACTCTTACTATTACAGTGAAATGCAATGCTTCTGATTTTAGCTTCAAGGGGAATTCCATTCACATCTGCCTGTAATATAGATCTATTGCTTGTAGATAACAGCTAGCAAAAGATCATTATTATAAGTGATCTGTTTCTGCAAAAATGCATTTAGGAGCTGAACAAGATCTTCCCTTACTTCACTCAGCATCTCATAAAGAATAAGTGTTAAAAAAAAGCTGATGTAAATTTAATATAAATCATGATAAAATAAACACTCCTTAAAGTGACACTAAACTCCGGAGTTAAATCTTAAAAATACATTTAAGTATCATGACTATTACCAATACTGTACCTTATTTGTCTATCACTCATGTGTGGATCCTTAAATCATTTCTAAATTCATGCTGACACTGTCCTTCCTTCTGGAGGGTGGCTACTTTTGTTCTCCATGGTCCCTGTGTGTGTTGTAAATTAGCCACCGCTCCAAGCTCACTCTTGGGATAGACTGCAATCTCAATAACAATTAGGAAACGAAACGTGAAATTGTAGTCCATCATGGGAGCAAGCTTGGATCGGTGGCTACTTTACAACATACATAGCAACCATGGAGAACAAAAGTAGCCACCCTCCAGAAGGAAGGACAGTGTCAGCATGAATTTAGAGATGATTTAAGGATCCACAGATGAGTGATAGACAAATAAGGTACAGTGTTGGTAATAGTCATGGTACTTTTAAGTTTTAACCCCTGAGTTTAGTGTCACTTTAAGGCCTCATTCACACGGGTAACGGCCAGCCCATAAAGATCCGTGCTGCGTACACGGCCGTATCGGGCAGCTCCCGACTGTATCTGGCACGGCCATATCGGGCAGAAGAGTTGGGCCTCATTCACACGGGTAACGGCCGGCCCATACAGATCTGTGCTGCGTGCACGGCCATATCGTAGGGCAGCGTATGGCCGCATGCACCCACAGAGAAGGACAGGCTGCTGCGTACAAATCACACGCAGCACCTGTCCTTCCCGGGAGCTGCCCGATATGGCCGTGCATGCAGCACGGATCTGTACAGGGCGGCCGTTATCCATGTGAATGAAGCCTAAGTCTTCTTCATTCAAACAAAGCAAAAAAAAATCTAAATGTTATTACTTACTTTTTGAACATCAAACAGTCATAGAAATGTTCACAATATCTTTTCAAGTTTTGCAATTTCAAAATGGCACCATAATGCCAATTCCACAAACCTGAGTCAATCTTATATTACTGATAGAATAATAATTTATTTATAAACCGATAAACACTTGTGTGCAATGTGATGTAACAATGCAAAAAGGAAAAAAAGCTCTCCTTAACTAAAATTGACTTTGCCACTCTACATTACAATCATGCATACTGTATGTGGTATCCATGTGTTCATAAGACTTTATATATTGTAAATGTGGGTTAATATCTGGAGTTGTGTTTATTACAGAGAAGACGTGATGAGAAAAATGATTAGAAAATGTATGTTTTTCTCAGTATACTAATTTTCTTATTTCTTAATTGAAGTCACAAAGATCTCATATAATTATGAACACTTAAAGGCATATTCCACCTTTTACAAAAAATAACTCCACATACATTATTATAGAAAAAAATGTGCATTAATTATTTGTTTGCATAGTAGCCCTAAAAAGAATTGCTACTGCAATCAGTGGATCACAGCTGCAATACTCAGGCTTCTGCAGACTCTTCCAAGGTATGTACTTTCAGTTAGAGGGATGGGAGGAAGTGCCAATGGGCTAGTCCTTTGGCCATTGGACGACAGGTCCTCTGACATCACCACAATTGTAGTCCATTAATATAACAAGTCCCTCTGCCATGGTGGCAGATGGAACGTGTAGTCTATTCATTCTCAGATTCTGTGATTTCAAAAGATGCCTGAATGTTGTGGGGAGAAGAACACCATGGCTCAGGTAAAGGAAGGGGTAGAGGGAAGGATGGGGTAGGGGGTTAAGCATGTGACCTTGCTTCATGTTATACCCTAAATATACCCTAAATATGGGTGTAACTTAAAACATGGTCTACAGAGTAAACGTAGCCTTTGATGTAATTTCAAGAATAATTTTCAGTCATTATAACCTATATCATTCATTAGAATAACATTTAATGGTCCTTCCATTAAGGTACTTGTACTCTTATAGAGTGACAACAATATGTCCCTGTCACCCAGTTGTCACTGTCACTCATTGTGAAGACATGCTCCACCATTATCACCATCAGGAAGCTTGTCCTAAGCAATGACATGCAGGTGGCACTGGAGTACATATAGTAGAGCAGCAGCACCGATGTGAAAAAAAAGGGAAAAACATTTTTTTCCAAGAAAAAATAACACAGCAGTTGGGGTATGATACCGAATATTTGAGAAAACTAAATGTCATCCAGTTAGAGGTTGCATCTACTATAAATACTCAATAAATGATATGCATTTTTATCTGTTATCAATATAAAGCTCTGCCTCCAAAAAGCAATTTCATAGGTAAAACAAGAAATGAAAAAGATCCCTTTTAAGAAAAGTTTAAGACATGTGTTAAACCTATATGACAGAAAATGGTATTGTATTGGGTAGACATTAGCACATTTCCTAAAATCAGCCAATCCACTGTATTTTGTGAGATTTTTTTTTTGTAGCTTTTCCCCTCCTTTATTTTTTTTAGAAAGCCTTTTCTTCCATAAACAATAGCAAAATGCAGAAAGCCAAAATGTATACCTTACTTTTTTATAATAACTATTATCTGAAGCGAGTAGGTAAACACCAGCTGGGCTCTTCTATTACACCCCCCAACCCCTCCACAGAAATATATATTAATCATATAACTTAAACATTTTGAATAGAGAGGCCAACCCTTTACACACCATCTTTTATTTGGGGGCTTTATGCTCCAATACGATTAAGTATTTTATAGATTAATTACAGTATTTGGAGAGCAGGAAGAATTGAGCAAGATGATTTGATTAATCGAAAAGGACATGGAATATACACAGATTGTAGCTCAGAAGAGGGCAGGTCGAATTTAGACATATAGTTGAACCTTTCAAAAGTAATAATCTTAAATCATGAAAATATGTGACTTTTGGATAGAATAGCCATATTGCACAGCGGACACTGGCAGAACTAAGGGTTGGATGCACAAACAATGGGAGGATTTTAAATGATTGCAATGACCATTGTAACTGCTTTTAAACAAGTTTTTTGATGTTGTGTTTTTTGAGAGGGTGAATCATAACTTTTCAGTAAAACAAAATGTGGATATTTATCAAGGTTTCTGTTTTTTTTATTGTGATGATTGGATGGCTAATTATTGCAAAGCCAGAAAAGGGTAAAATGCTATTAGGTTAAAAGCCTAGTAGGCTCAATATAACACATTTAGGTCACCATCACTTACCAAGTATTGACACAGAGCTACATGTTGAAGCTGATGCCAATTTCTAAGAGAAGGTAGACTGGGAAAAACAGGTGTTCTGCTCTAAAATACAGTGCACCCTCAGTACACATATAATATTTAAACCACAAAAAGAATGTGTTGGACAAATAATCCCAACACATTAGTAAAGAGGTACTTGAAGTGGCACTAATCTCAGGAGTTAAATCTTAAAAATGCATTCAGGTACTTATTCTTATTTGTGC